ATCCTGTATTTTTGTTGCTTTTGCTTCTTACAAGGGAAAACAGTAAACTTGACACTACTGATTTTTGTTTCCTCCCTTCCCTCTCCAAAATTCTTAAGATATTTTTAGAGGCTTTCATCTCTAAGCTTTCAGGGGAGAGAACAGCACACTGATAGATCAGCTGTCAGTTTTCAACTTCCTGAAGACTTGGCTTTCCAACACATAGCTCAGGACTGTTTTTCAGCCTGGCTTGTGCAGCACTGGTGTGCAGGAAAAGGAAAGAATGGGAGAATCTTTAAGGCTTTGTTTTACAGGTGTTTTGATATAACTTATGATAATACATGGGGTAGAAATTTGCCTCAGCAGAGAAAGGTGATTGCTAGCCTGAAGGTGTACATTTGGTAGAATTTAAGAAACTGAATTAAGTTTGAGATATATTCCACATGTTTTGGGATCAGTGCAACCTTAACTCAATATTTGAATAGCAGGCTATAGAAGATGGTATAGAAAACTCCATCTACAGCCTCAGGAGTCAGGGAGCAGAGAGGTCAACTCAGGCTGGTGCTGTATGTCTGGTTCATAGCAGAATTCAGTGCCAGGAAATGGTTAGATAACCACACAGAGACTTTTGGACTGATTTCTGAAAATGTCTTGCATTTCAGAAATTTCAGAGCATTGATGGATCTCCGTGAGAAGGGAGAGAAAATTCCATGCATTTTCCCCTTTTGTTGCATTTAAACTTTCTTGTACTTGGAATAATGTCTGATGATTTGGTCTTCTGTCTGCCTGTTGAGAAAGCTCGAAACAAACCTATTGTCTCTGGTGATTTCTCCTTATCTTCGTTCATCTCCTGCAGGTGAAATTTCCATAAGATTTTTTTCCCCCCGCAACAAAACAGGCTGCTGCAGTGGAATACGCACAGCTTTTCTAAGCAGGAGATCAAATAAAAACCAAACCAAAGCCATAAGTTAGTGCAGCATTCTGGTGAGTGCAGTTTGTTAGCTGTGTGGAATCTGGGAACAGAATGCTTAAAGAAGAGATTTTATTTTTTAATAGAAATGTAATAAGAGAAAAAAATGAAGATAAGCGGAAGTCTAGGAATGTGTTGTAAATTCCTCAGGGATGCAGCAGGGGACAGATTTTGTTTTCAATTTGGAGACCAGGATGGTATTAAGACTTCATTTCATGAGAACGATAATGCAAAAATTATTTCTGCAAAAGAGCTTTAAAAAAGTTATCCTGTGAGCCAGATTCTGAAATACAGTTGATTGTAGCATGCACTGGAAACTCTGAGTCAAATAAAGAATACTTGCTTATTTTTAATCATTTAGATAAATGTTTGGTTTTTGTGTTTTGTTTTGTTTTTAAATCCGGTGCTTGCAGTCTTGCAGTTTGTTTGGCAGTGAGTGAATGTAGCCCACTTTTTTTTCACTCGGACCTAGCTTTATCTTTAAATCCTGCTTCTAGAAGTGTGTGTGTGCTGGATAGCTGTTGGGATGCTGGAGAGCAGTGGCATGCTGTCAGGCATCCATCCCATCCGCATAGTATAGATGGCCTGCCAGTGTTCTGGACAGAAAACAACCCCAAAGCTTTAAACAAACTGTTCTTAATGGAAATAAACTTTTTTTTCCTCCCTTACTGTGTAATGATTTGAGAAAATATGTTGGCTGTGTGCTTGGAGTGGGAAGAGAAGGAACTCTTCAGCCTGGAGAAGAGAAGGCTGCGGGGTGACCTCATTGCAGCCTATCAATACCTGAAGGGAACCTACACCCAGGAGGGGAGTAAACTCTTCAAAAGGGCTGATAACAGCAGGACTAGGGGAAATGGTTTTAAGTTGAAGGAGGGAAGATTTAGGTTGGATGTTAGGGGGAAGTTCTTTACTAGGAGAGTGGTTAGGCCCTGGAACGGGCTGCCCACGGAGGTTGTGGATGCCCCGTCCTTGGACGTGTTCAAGGCCAGGTTGGACGGGGTCCTGGGCAACCTGATCTGAATGTGTATGTTTGGTGGCCCTGCTAGGCAGGGGGGTTGGAACTACATGATCCTTGGGGTCCCTTCCAACCCGGGTGATTCTGTGATTCTGTGAACTGTGTGTGCATAACTTGCTTGTTGGTGGATGCTCTGGGGAGACTGGAAGGGACCTATGAAGTTTCTATAGCATAGAGTGCTTGTTAACTCCCACCCAGCCTTTGTGTTGGAAGGCGAGCAGACTGATGATGAGGGCATTTACCTAGTGATTGCTTTTTTCCCTATATGGATTTGTAAGGCATACACCTCATATCTGCAATTTTCCAGAAATAACCAATAGCTTTAATACTTAAACTGGACTTAATACTTTAATACTGCTGGGTTTTGGTGGTAAGTAACAATGGCATGAACCAATGCTCATCTTCAGTTTCCTCCTAATTCTGTTTCTGAAAAAGCAGAGTAGGCCATACAAACAATAGTGTACTTTGCAGAAGAAAGCGCGCCATGGCCGTAGTTTTTGTTTCTGTTTTTTCAAACCGGTGCTGATAAATCTTTGCTCTCACTTCTGTTGCTATGGTGTTAGTTCTGTTCGAAAACAAACCTTTGGGTAATCATGTTAAATGCAAAGTTTTTTATGGAGAGAGGGATGCTGAAAGAGAGGGGAAGTAGGAGGGCTCAAATTCCAGCTGATGAAGAACAATGAATCAGTGTTTGTCTCAGCAGAGGGCCAGCAGAAATTTTGCACTGTACTTTCACTGACTTGTGATTGGGTCCGATATTCCACTTGAAAAGGCCTCTTTTTTTCCCCTTCCAAGGTTTTGGTTTTTTTATTTTTTGGGTTTTGTTTTTTTTTTCCTTTTTTCTTTAACTTCTTTTTCCTTGGTATATAAAAGGAAGGTGGAACACTTCCAAGTTCTGCACAGCTCAGAAATATTTGCTTTCCACAGCGCGGCCCAGAACACAGAGAACTTGTTCTTGTGAACAGTTTGATCCTCCAATCCACAAAATGCTGGATCAAATTTTGAAGGTTTGTGTGGCTGAAATGTACCTGCTGCCCTTGCTGAGCCGGCTTAAGCATTCACTGAACGGCCCAGGAGCAGCTGCTCAAGTGTGCTGCCATTCCTGGATTGTTTTATTCACAAACCAGGAGGCAGGGCGCTGTTACAGGGCACTTTTTAACACCTTTGCCTGTGCAGATCTTGATAGGTGTGTTTTGTTTACGTGCTCAGAGTAACGTGTCCATTGGTTTTAGCTGACACAGTTGTAGCAAGGAAGTTATCTTGCCCAGATGTCTTATGTTTCTGGGAAACACTGTGCTGAAAATGCCTGTGTGTGCCTTGAAGGCTGCTTCTATTCCTGGGTCAAGGCTGAAAGGAAGGACTGTTTTCTTGGTTTTTAACATTTCTCTGCAGATTTTAGCTGCAACTGCCATAAGAACGGGGTAGGGTAACCAAATTCCAATACTTACTTCCTTCTCACTGTTTTTGAAAGTGTAAGTCCTGAAAATTGATAAATTCACTTTTTTTTTTTTTTTTTTTTTTTTTTTAATTTTAGTTTTGGCAACTTGGAATCTTCTGATGCAGTTAAATGGATCCCAATTATTACTGTTTCCTTCCAGATGTGATAGGCAGATGTCAAAAAGCTCAGGAAAATTGGTTAGGTCATCTGACATTTCTTTTAAAGCTATTAACTAATTTTCTGGAACTTTTTTGCAACATATCCTCTCCTTCTCCATCCTCGGCCAAGCTGCATTTCACTTCATTTTGTCTTGATTCTGCAGACACTTATGTCTGCATTCAGTCTTCTTGCCGCACTGCTTGGAGGAATTGAAATATAGGTTCAGCACAGCCACCCTCTTGCAGGCTGCTCACCTGCAGCTCATGGCCCTTTGAGCAGCCCCATTGGCTCTGTTTGTCCTTGCTTATACGTCATCTTCTCATGCAGGGAGCCTCTGCTACTCACATGCAAGAGGAGTCAGTTGCTCTCCTCCAAAGATGTGCCTGATTTTCTAGTTGCATACTCTACATGAGTACTTCAAAGATAGTATGAGATAGCTGGCAGAGTAGTAGATTGTAAAATGCAAGCAGAGATGGTCTCTGTTGGGAAGAATAGTCATCCTGTCTCTGTTTGACTCCATTAATTTTGCTCAAGCTAGCCCAGGTCAGAGTGACTGTAGAAGAAAACCATTTCAGCTACAGGGATCAGTGAGATTACCAACTGGCATATAATTAAAAGGCTACAAAGTTTCTATTGCTTTAGTTTTACTGGTGTTTGAGCTCTGTTCATCCTGTCTCATTGTTACCTTCCTTAAAGCATAGGGTGGGAAACTGTATAGGACAAAGTCCTAGGCAATGAGACAGTGAAGACCAAGCTCAATGCTCCCCAAACCCTGTCTTGGTACTGGGGATCCAGCCCTGTGACACATTGCCACTAATGTTGTGTCAGCTACACTGTCTGGAGCTGAGTTTCTGCCGACCCCATCCTCAGTGTGTGTTCCCCTACCCTATCCTGCTGAATGGCATAGGCTGTGCTCAGGGAGCAGCACCCCTCCCACTTGGGTAGCTTTCCCTGCAGCAGAGGAATTTGTAGAAATCCTGAATCACTTGCTCTTATGTTACCTATAGGACCATCCTAGTTGCTGTTCTGTGCAGGCTCAAAGGGCAAAGGGCGTGAGAGGTGTTCTTTTTATTAGTGGTAATTTTTGTTGGCTCAATCTTTTTGCATTGCATATATGTGTAAGTACGGGGAGGAGAGCAAAGAAGGAAATGCTGTTTCAAGGAGGAGAAGAAGCACAGGAAGACCTTCGGAGGAAGGGTGCTTGCAGCAATTTCAGTGCCTTTTCATGGAATTAGGTGTACACTGCTGAGAAGTAAATATCTGAGTAAAGTTTCCTGGCATTCAATGAAAAATCAGTTGTCAGGGATTTGGATAACATGTCAAAATAAAGGCAGTGTGTATAGCAGATGCCCAGTGTGATGGCAGCACCTTGGGCAGTGAGCCTCACATCCTCCATATATTGATAAAGGTTTTCTTTTTTTTTTTTTTTTTTTTCCCAGCTTGATCTCACCAAACCTATTGAAGACCAGGGCCCTTTGGATGTGATCATACATAAGCTGACAGATGTCATCCTCGAAGCAGACCAGAATGACAGCCAGTCACTGGAGTTGGTACAGAGGTTCCAGGTATGTGGTTCTTCCATAGCATTTCAAGCAAGAGGATGATCGTGGTGCAGCAGATTTAATTTGTTCTCTATGCAGCTGATGATGTTTGGTGAAAAGAGGTCTCTGGCACACTGCTGCCCAGCCGTAGAGTCCAGAAAACACCATTTTGTCTGTCTAAAATAAATTTTCACTTGTGGTTACATTCTGCACTGTGAGTTTAATAACAACTCGTTTCCCACCAAATGTTTGAATGTCATTTCAAGAACACTGGTGTAGTCAATGAAAAACAGGTGCTTCCAGGGTCCTTTATGTCTCTGTTTCTCTATGACAGAAGCTACTAAAATAATTTTTCCCAATCCTGTCCATTCTTCCCACTTACTGGAATGCTAAATTCTGTAACATTAAGGCTAGTATCAGTATTTTCATCCTCTGATGGCATTCTGATTTGCTTTTTTTTTTTTTTCCTCCCAAGTTAACATTGTTAAGTCAGAAATATGCAGGGCACAGTGGTACAGACAACTGTTCTGCCAAATAATTCCTATCATAGTATGGATGATGATGCATTTATCATTTTAAAAGGTGATGTTTCTGATGGATAGTTTTGATCAAAGGCATGTTCTTTTCTTTTTCACAGAGAACTTGAGTAAGATATTTTCTGAAATTTATGAAATATGCTTATGTCAGGTGGAAGAACAGTTCAGACAAATTCTGCAGTTTTCACAACTTTGCTGTCTTGGGAAATCAAGTACTGTTTGCTCTGCTTAATGTTCTTCTAATAATGCAGAAAATGTTGTACTTAATGGAGAAAATATTCTGTTTGTTTTAGTTAGAAAAGTTCGCTGCTTCCTCCCATCTGCCTGTTATTCAAACTCACACAGGAGATACACTTGTGGGTCTGGCCCTCTGATAGCAGTTCTCTGAAGAATATGTGACTTCATCACTGAGTATGTTGGGCATCCACATCCCTCAGCACTTGAAATTTCAAATGCCCGAAGTAGAATATGGAGAGATGAACTTCAGGGACCTTCTGCTAAAGCGCACAGTCTTTCCCTCTTTCCGATGTTAGCTGATTTGCCTTTGTAATAGACACGTTGTATTGAGGGGAAAAAATAATACCCAAAAAGGGAAAAGACTCGTGTGTTGAGTTGCTCACAGCTGTGTGAAAGTCCAGAGATTCCTGATCCTTACTTTGTTGGTTGCATTCCTGAAGGTCTCAGTTTGAGCAGGGCTCAGAGAACTCATCTCTGTGTAATGCTGTGCTACCTCCTTTGTCCCCTGCAGAACACGTAGATAGGGAATTTGTGCAAGCATTAGAGAACAGAGTGTAGCAATACAATTAGTATCTGAAACATGTTTCTTTTATTACTGAGCAAGAACTCATCAGTGCATATTGAATATTTTTATAAGAATTCCAGCTAGTGAATTTAATGTATTTAATTACTGAAGATCATAAGCTGTTCCTTTTTCAAATATCTAAGTGAGGTCTTTAAGAAGCACTATGAAGTATGGAGAGCATGTTTTCCTAAAGCTGCACTTAAGCACCAATGTGAAGTTCAGTATGAAATGGGGCACTTCACAACAAGAACCTTGGCTTTGGCTGAGAATTTAATGGGCTCTTCTTGGTGTGGCAGCTGCTGCATGAGTGGAATGCTGTTAGAGCTAAAATGACCCGCTAAAGCTAAATGCCTTGTCCTGATAAATTTCTTAAAGTAATCACAGTGTACCTTGATGTTACTCTATGTATCTTTGTTAGTACTTAAATAAATTAATTCATTATTTTTGTATAGGTTAAGTGTTGAAGCTTTGTTTTTAAACCTACTTAAGTTAGAAAATCTCAGTGAAAATATTTTTCTATCTAATGAGTCTGTGGGATAGATTCTGAGATTGGTGAGAGATAAGTGCTATATATTTATATATAGATCTTATATATATATATATATATTACATTTTATAGTTTATTCTTTGGTTCAGAGGCTTACTTTTTGTATCCTTTTGATAGCACTCACAAAAAAATAATATCACCTGGAAAGAGATGCAATGGCCTAAGAACAGCAAACGTTCCCTTACAGAAATACTAAAAGAAAACTGCAACTGCAAGTCAGAAACTTAGTTCTCTCCACCCTTACATCCTAAAATGCCTTTCTGTGCCTCAGCTTACGTACCTCTGTTCATAAACTGAAGTCTATTTCTTACAAAGAACATTGCAATTTTAATTAATATTTAATTAAATATCAGTATCCAGGCAAAAATAGTGTTGTGGTCCTATGAAGATAATTAGCAGTGGACTAATGGGAATTTGAACATTTTTTATTCTGATAATACTGGAAATCTGGATTCTGTGTCAAGTGTTGTAGAAAGTAAATTTACTGCATACATACCTGGGTTGTATGAACAACCTCAAGGTGTGTGCAGATCTGTTCATCAGCAAGTAGCTGTATCACTGGAAAATCTCTTTCCCCAGTAATACATAGTTTCTATATTTTTTCCCAAGTGCAAGTGGTGCAGACAGATGGAAGCAAGGATAAGATCTGGGTATGTCAGAAGAAATAGTTCACTGTCTCCTGATGTAATGGGTTGATGCAGTTGAACTTGTTCAGCTAACAGTTGAACCACATAAGGAAATAAATTTGGGTGAAAAGCACCCTATGGATAAAGGGCATTGTCTCATTCCAGTCTCCTCTACAGGTGAATTGTGTTCATGCATTAAGGATTCCTCTAAACTTTCATCTTCATGTCACTGGTGATGATGACATGAGTCTCTTTTGGACACGTACCCTAATGCCAATTTAGCATTGCTGTTCTTGCAGTGGCAAGTTTTGGCCAAGCATGCTCTAGAATGGCTGCTGCAGGTCTGTGGTAAGAAACTTTGTAAGAAGCATTGTTCTTACAAACTGCTTATATACAGCTGGCCTTCAAGGGCTTCATAGTTAGTAATATTAAATTTAACCACAAATGACAGTAATAAAAAAGCTAAGAATGCTAGAGCAGAACTTGGTGTTCTTTCTTCTGTCTCTGTCATTAGTCTTGGTTATTCAGTAGACAGTTATCTAACGTATTTATTTTTTGAGGATGCTGTCTTCCTGCAAAGAAGTGTTATGTAATGCCTAGAGAATTTAGAAAGGAATTCTGGGGTGTATGTTTAGTCCACAGTTTCATTGTGTGATCTAGATGATCCTGTTTGCATCCCCAAGTCATAAATTAAAGGAAATGTTATTAACTCCTTTCTGACATTAATGAGGAGCTGATAGTGCAAATAGTGTGTTCCCTTATTGCTGAACTTAATCTGACTAAACAATCCAAAATTCAATATGCCATTTATCTTGCTATTGAACATAAATTTATCATCAACATGAAACCTGGCACTTGGCTTCTTGGTGGCTCCATGGAGCAGTCTTTCAGGAAGCAGAAAGCAAGGGCTCCTTGATCACAGGAGGAGGATAGTCTGCAAGGCTGCATTTCTGACCTTTGGAAGAATAACTTATTTCAGAGCTATATTGTAGAAATGTCGACCGTCTCTTCTGCAAAAGCTTAGGAGAAAGCTGGGTCTGTGTGCCTGCTCTCTGCAGGCCGTGACAAACACTTGCAGTCTGGTGCTGTGCACTAGCAGACTGTGAATCCTCTTTGCATGCCAGTTTTGTCTTGCTGTTTAATGAGTGTTCTCAATTGCATCGTAAAAAATTGCTGTTACAGCAGACTCTCAAAATGGTGAGGAGGAGGTGCATGCTAATACTGGTCTTTTAATTGAAGACCTTTTGGACCGAGCCTTCTGAGGTCTTTGTGCTATTTGGATGTGGTCTGGACTACAGTTCCTCCAGAGAGCATTGGCAGCTGCTTAGTGATCTCCTCCAAAGCCAAAATGAAGACCATGTGTAGCACCTAGTGATTTGTGTGAAGGACAGAAGTTTTTCCATTTGTTTTGCAAGATACTTCAGCCCTTACATTAGAGAATGTGGAGTCTCCTTTCCTACCCAGAGCAACACTGGGCTGAGCTGATTGAATATAATTTAGTTGTCATATAATTAAAAAAAGATAATAATAATAATCAAAAAACACCACACAAAACACTAAAATCATTTAAAGGCATTTCCTTCTTGACCAGAGGAACATGGGAGAGAAGTCAGGTGTGAAGGGTACCCAAGGTACCCTTTCATTTGCTGTTTTTCTGCTTCCTGTCATCCTGGTAAGAAAGAGAAGCAAGCTACCCAGTTCCTGCCCCTCAGATAAAGCTTATGGCTTTGAAAGTTGAATATGTTCTGGCTGGCATAAGCCACTGCTGACTAGGAAAGTTTGTTAAGCTCTGATTTTAGCAAAATACTCTCTGAACAGCTGCCTGTCATAGCTATACAGGGGCTTGTGTAGCTTTATTCATAACAGCTCCTTCTGTCTGTTCCATTCAGATTGATGGCCTTAAGTGATGGAAAATCAATAGGACTGTTGATTTGTGTTTCAGAGCTTTTTTGAACAGTTTCTCTTTTCATCAGCATTCTTGAAAGCATATCACAAATAGTTTTATTCCTAGGCCTGTGCTGTCAGGTTGATGAAAATTGGAAATGTTCCTTATTCTGCTCTTCATCCTCCCCACCACCACCCGTGTTTCCTACTTCTGGCTCTCCTACTCTGAAGCTGTCTAGGAAGAGCTCTGCTGTTAGAAGGGCTTGGGACTGGGATGAAAGGAAATAAGGGAAATATTTTGGAAGGTGAGAAGTTAGGCTTTGTTCATGCTGCACTGATTGTTTTCATCAGATTTCTCACTTTCAAAAAGGTGATTTGAGTGCATGTTCATGGAGATGAGGAGATGATGCTGTGGGTTTTTTGTGTTGTTTTTTTTTTTTCTTTTTATTATACTAGCTCATTCTGTTCCCAGTTACCAGCTTTATGCTTTGAAAATACAAGTTTCAAATTTCTTTTCATGTGTTCTGCTGAAATGGGCAAGTGAAAAATCAAAAGAAACATTCAAAGCTTAGTGATTTTTTTCTTACTGGTGGGACAGGATAAGACACATAGCTGAAGTAGTCTATTTGCACTTGAATTCACAGGCCAGTGCCTGTGTTTTTCCCATTTGAAAAGTAACTCTCTCCTACTCTGGTGTTGAATGGGCCTTATAATCAGGCAAAATTAACTAAAAATCTCTCATCTCAGAGCCAACTGGAGAGCTTCCTGATGATAGGTATTTGCAAGATAAAGCTGTGGGGAATTGTTGATGGAAAACCAGGGAAGCTGAGCTTAGAAATTTGCTTTTAGTTGTAGCACAAATGGAAGAGGAACAGATAAAGTGTCTGCTACCAGCATCCTTTCCAACCACTGCAGGGATCTCATAGGTTTTAGGAGACAAACAATTTTGGGATCGGTGTTTGCTGAAGCTCCACCTTGCCTGTAGCTTTCCTTTTGGCATCCATGCACAGAGCCCAAGACAACAGAAAGGTCTTTTATATTTTATGTCTGAATCCAATTCAAGGTCATTGGATGAATTTTGTTTCTGTCTCTACATATTTTCCCCTTGGAAAACATCCATTTGTTGTTATAAGCAGTTATCTCCATGTTTCTATACACAGGAAAACACAAATCCAAACACTATCACTGTTTCATTTGCTGACATTTTTATATGCAGTTTTTGTTTAACGTTAAACAAAGGGTTATTGAAGTTTTATTACTTAGTAATAAAGTCAAGTCAAATGAGTCAGTGAGTATTTCTTATCATCTAATGACCTAATATTTGCAGTAGATACTGTATCAACTTTCTGTTAAAATATTAAAAAAAAAAAAAAAGTTACCTTTTTGGGTAAAATGACAATCAATTCTATTCTCATCTATATATATACTTCTTAAGAAGGGCTTTTTAAAAAACTTCTGGGCTATATCCAGAGGTATTTAATAGGGAACATGAAATACTTTGTCTCCCTTTGATTTCAAGTGTCATTGCTGGCCTTCTGCCAGTAGCAGGGCTGGTACAGAGCATTACTGAATACCAAGCCTGGAATAAAAACAAAGGAAGATCTGCTGAAAGTCCTGCTTTTTTTCTTGTTTGCGTTTATTGTATCAAAGATTAGAAAGAGGAAAACACAAACATTGTCTGGGTCAAGCTGAACTGCAGCCCAGGGAGAGAGCCTTCCAAAAATACTGCTGGAAAATCTAAGTATCTCGCAGATTGTTGTCTGGGTTGTTGGAGTCTGAAGCTGAATACCAGTCTTTGGTAAATCCAACAAAAGAAGGCATGGAATTGTTTTGTTCGGATGACCAGAGAAGAACTGAGTGGTGAAGGTTGACAGGTTGTGCTCTACTGAAAGCTATCTTTTGGTTTCAGTAATTCTCCTGCAGCTGCTCCGTTTTCAAGTTCATATTTGTAATAGCTCATCCTTTTTTTTCTCCCAGTAAGGAAAGGTTGTCTCCTTACAGTCTCCTGTGTTTGAAGAGGTTTTTTTCTTACACTACTAAGTCCCCCAGGCTCTAAATGGCTTCTGGGAAACAGCTCTCATGCTTGGTGGTTATTTTGTGTTTGCCTTGCAGAGCTCTTGGAGTCTCATTAAGGCAGCAAGATGAGCAGTCACTGAAAAGTCAGCTGAGATGCTTACTGCTATTGAAGCATTGCCTGGTGTAGAATTGCCTCAGGATCAGACCTTCTTTCCTGTTAAACTTCATTATGCTGTGTCAAACTTAGTTCTTGGATCATCTTCTAATGTGATTTAGAGCTATTATCCTTTTATAAATGAAGTTCCTTGGAGTTCCTTCTGGAAATACATCGGCTAATTTGAGCCGAACTACTGTGGAGTATACCTGAGCACAGAACAGTGAGGATTTTCATTAAGAGCAAGAGAGCATCAGGAGGATTTGGAAGCTGCACAAGGAACAGAGTGAGGGAAAAATAATTTTTTCCTTGTAGAGTGCTGAAGGAGATGGAGACCACAGGGAGGAGGAATGTATGTGTGAGGTGAGGGATCAGTGCATACAGAGTGGGCCTAAATGGACATACGTGGAGCTTGAGCTCAATGTGGAACCAGCATGGTTAGGGTGGAGGGGCTGTTGCCACATTACCAAAGGGGGAACTGGTACACCATGAGAAGCACTGCAAGATGTTCATGGAAGTGTGGTACTTGCAGGAGTAGTTTCCATGTGTTTACATAAACAAATTTAAATGAATGAATGGAAATGTAAAATGGCTTTTGGAAGTTGGGTTAAAGACAGACAGATGCTAGCTTTGGAGATGTTTGTCCTAGTTTGGATGAGGTAAGACATATTCTTCTTTACCCATCTACTGTAATTCCAGCCCTTACCAACCAGCTCTTAACATTCAGAACAGCTAGAAGTTTTAATAGCAGCATTAAGGAATTCAGATGTAGTTCTGAGCTTAGCTCAGGCAGTTTTGATGTTCATGTGTAGTAATTCAGTGCAAGACTGACCCCAAGATAGCCGTGTGTCATCCTTCTTCTAATTACTTTTCTTTGCCCTGCTCACAGCTGTTGCTGTGGCACTTTGCCACTGGCTCATTTCTGAGCTGATGGGGTTGTAGCAGCACAGGTTTCACCACTGATGGTGAGTCCACAGGAGGAATGTGCCGTCCTGAAGCAGTTAGCTGTCACATTTGTTTTTGTTTCGAATGTCAGCATCAAGTCCATGTTGTCACGTCCTACATTGCCAGTGTCTGTCTCCTGTAAAAAAAAGGTTGGATGTTGACTGAGATTTATAACTGTGTTCTCTTTCCCATCTCGCTATTTTCCACAGTCTTTAGCCAACCTAATGCTTTTTTTTTTTTTTCTTCATATTTGTTTTGCAGGAGTATATTGATGCTCATCCAGAAACCATTGTCCTGGACCCTCTTCCAGCTATTCGTACACTTCTGGACCGATCCAAGTCTTATGAGCTCATTCGACAAATAGAGGCATACATGCAAGGTAGGCCAGTCACCTGCTGTCCCAGAAGACTTTTTATTGTGATTTGTAGGGAAGGAAGCAGCTGGCTTCTGGAAGTTAGCTGTGAGGCTTCCAGCAGAGGCTTTGGACACTTCTAATTCTCCCTCTCCATGGGAGCACAAACACTGAAGGATTGTGGTGACATGGGATTGCGCTCTGAACCCCCTGTGCTCTTCTCTTTCAAAGCATGCAAAGGAGGTTTGCATCTGGGTAACAATGCGGTGTGGGTTTAATGGGGAGCATATTTACTACATTGCTCACAGCAATCTTCAGGAAAACATTTTCTTTCTGAGCATGCTGGTAAATTGAGATGTCACTACAAACTTCACAACCTGTCATAAGAATCCCAAGGCTTGAATTTTGAGATTTATGGAAGAAGAAAAAAATTTTTTGAAAGAACTGAAAAAAATTAAATTGTTAATAGAGCTAAGATGCATGAGAAATGCTGGAAGTCTGTCACACAAGTTAATTGCTAGGAGGAAGCATGAATGCTCTACCGGTGTTGGCTTGCTACCTGACATACATTGTTGCCTTTAATTGGACTTAATTGGACTGAATTCCTACATTTGGAAGTCATGCTTCTTAAACTTGAATAATTCTAGCATCTTACTGTGTTAACTATTAGGTCAAGTTAGTCTTTCATTCTCTTTCTACTTTTACTGCAGTTTCCTTGACTTCTTGCCTTTTCTGTTTAGTTTTAGAGAAGCTCTAAAAGTAACTGTTCCTTAGATTAGATGACTACATTTCAGGGAAATTGCATTTTTGAACTATGCTCTAATGTGGCATTATTGCAATTTTCTTTATGATTGTGTTATTACCATTTCATGGGCTCAAAGGAAACTTATCAATTTGCATTTTCATAATTTGGGGTTTTATTGACCTGCTGTTTGCATCTGACCTGCCTGGCCCCATCAGTATAGTGTCTTTAGGAGCCTCTCAAATATGTAAAATGAAGAGTAATAGCAGCAGTCTCCCATGTGCTTTACAAGAGGATGTTCAATTAGTTTAAAAGGATTTTGTTTTGAAGTGATTATTGCTGTATGTGAATGGGAAAGAGTTACTGAGGGAAATCTGTGCTCTGAATATAGGGTTGTTTTTTTTGTATTTTTTCTAGCAGCAGAGAGATTCAGAGGTTTTTTTTGTTCGTTTATTTGTTTTTTCCTTAAGTTGTTAATGATATTATTGTCCTTATTTTCTCTATGGTAATATCATGCACAGGAGACCATCCAGTTTTTGCAAGGAGTTTGAATTGCACATATTTCAGCCTCCACTGGTGAAACTGAGAAAGGAAAAAAAAAAAATAAGGGAGGGAAAACTACTAAGGAAGAAAAAGGAAAATGTCGATTCCTATTCAGTTAAAACTGACAGCTTCCAAGTGAAGCTGTTAAGAAAATTTAGGAATGAGGCAGAAAAAAACTTCACCTGTTTTCACAGGCTATTCTAGTGTTAGGTGAGCTGTGCCCCCAGATCTTCCAGATATAGCTCAGCTTATTTCTTTCTCATCATCATAAATATTATGGCAGAGACCTTGAACCACCTTTGTATTTAGCAGGGAAAATCTCAAGAGAGCTGAATAACTGGCTGACTTCTTGTTCTGGCCTAAGCAGACCAGCTTCTGTATTCCCACATGTAATCATTTGCAGTGGAGAAGATCAAAATAGCTGCATCCCTCTAGACAGCGTGGTGGGTTTTCTCCCCTCCTGATTTTCACCTGCTAAACTCTGTTTTCTGCTCTGCAGCTGTCATGGAATATCCCAAGGCAGTGAGCACTTAGAAAGCTCAAACAAGAAGTAATACATCTGTAAATAGCATAAGGTCTTTAAAGTCACATCTTTTTTGTTCTGGAATTTAGAAAGGAAGTCACTACCAAGAATAATATCCTAGAATTTAGCTGTAACTGGAGAGCCCATTTTATCACGGGATACAGATTGAATGTGGTGGGTTAAGCTCAGTGCAAGGGATTCTCTCTTCCAGAGGAATGCCATACGGTGGGGTTGGAACGGTTCAGTATTTGTGTGTGGAGAAATGCTCTGCTTTGGAAAACTATTCAGAGGGCAGTTTTGGACTCAGGTAATCTTTGCCTTTGATTTACGTTTCAGAGGAGCTGCAAACAAAGTACAGTCCTTATTTATGATCTTCCATTTGCATTTCAAGCTTGTTGGAAAGAATATAATCAAGTATAATCAGAGATTTGCAACAGCTAAAGGGAGGATGAGCGCACGTTCTGGTCACTTGCCTGCATCTTCACAAATGTCGGGTGTTGCTGAGGTGACCACGTTCTGCAGCAGTAGGACCTGGTGTTAGATGAACAGCTTGATTGCATAGGTAATTATCATTCAGAAATCCAGGTTAATGCTTTAAACAGTGAATTCTCCATGTGGCACGATAAAAGGAATCGTTCCATGAAGTGCCTAAACTGGCACCTGGACATTGTTAAGCTTTCTGAAAGTCCTGCAGGATGCTCTTTATGAAGCCAACCATGTGACTGAAAAGCATTTGGTCCAGCCTCATGAGAACAGGTTGGAACAGGCATTTTGTGGCACATACGTTGTCTCTGCAGTCTGCAATAGCTGGTAAAGGGACAGAGTTGGAGGAGAACTGCAAGTAGGCGGGAGTTACTCATGCAGTTTGGTGTGAAACACAGAGTTAAACCTGAACGTCCAGATCGTGGGCTGACACTGTGAGGCTGACACTGTGACCACCCAGGACTCAGGAATATGGGGTTCACAGAGACATGAAGGTTGGAAAGCACTTCTGAAAATTGCCTAATCCATCCCCCTGCTCAGAGCAGGATCTTCAGAACCAGGTCCATCTGAATGCTGTGTATCTGCACAGAAAGAGGATGTGCGACCCTTCTGGGCCACCTACTCCAGGATTACCTTGAACCAAGCATGCTGGCATGCAGCTAGCAGGGGGTAAAGTGACTTGCAGAAATCCTGTTTTTTTTCAGTTCAGATAGTAGTATCTCCTTTGGAAGGAAATGGAGCACTCTTCTAAAAATATACATACATTTATGTACAGCTATTTTAGCATTAGTTTTAGTGGTTTCTTTTTTGGAAGAAATAGCCTGATCAGGGCTGAGACTTCCTCTTTTTTTCCTGTTCTCTCTTATTTTGAGTGCAGGGTCAGAGAGAGTTATTCTGAAACCTTCCCTTCTAAGTCTTTTGAAAAAAGTTTGAATTCTCTAATCGTGTCCTACATAGCTGGCAGGTCTATCTTGAAATAAATCACTGAAAAGACTTTTTTGGTATGGCAGTTGAGTTCTGTTGGCAGTTACATTGCTTTGTTTACTTATCTGTGAAGAATGACTTCTAATATCAAAGTGCTCTCAAACAGATTTTGTAATGTTTGGTGAAAGATTAGAGACGTTATTTAACAGAAATTTGACTTTTGCAGGGTAGCGTGTGGTGGGAGCTGGGTCAGCTTTTCTGAAGCTTCTGCCTCATGAAACATAACTAGATTCTCTGATGCTGTTGAAAAGCTGTGATCTTACAGCCTCAGAGTTCAAGATCTGACTTTTTAAATTATGCTTAAGGTGATAGCAGATAATCACTGTGAGTTGGCTTGGCAATGAAGCCTTTTTATTTTGAGGATGAAAAGCTTTTAATGTTCCTGATACACATTACACATAATAATATAAACAAGAGGCATTAAGATCAAAACTGTGACCAATGTGCAACACACTAGGTGTTTTTCTAGTTAGCGACTGTATATAAAACAGCTTCCTTTTATTTCACCTGTACAGTTTCTTCAGTAGTGTTGGACCTTCAGGTATTGTGGACTCTGGAGTTCATTTCTGTAAACATTTCTACCTGCTGTTGTTTTTTTCTTACGATTCTAAGAGAGTTCATGTATGAAACCAGTTGTGAGTCCTGAATTTCTCTCTCATTTTTTGAAATAGAGCTATGCTTTAAGGGCAGAAAAAAATATAAAATCATTTAGATGTGATATTTTCATCAATATGTATCTGAAATCATTTGTTTGATTGTTTGCTGTTACAGGAGGTGCTGTTTCTGTGTACATCATTCTGATTTTTCACAAAATTTTGGAACAGAACTCTGCACCATTCTCTCTCCCCAGAGTAGTTTTTGGGGTTTTTTTTGTTTGTTTGTTTTGTTTTGTTTTTGTTTTTGTTTTGGTAAATTCTATCTCTCTGTCTTAGAAATACTACTTGCACTGCATGTCTTCTGTGCCTAACAGAGTGGCTCAACATGATGTAATGGATAAACCACAATCTGGGACTCCAGGTTTTCTGCTGGCATGATCTGGGGACCCTTGTGCATCTCCTTCTTCTGACCATATCTGCCTGTCTTTTCCCTGTCAATGCCACATTTTTCCAGGCAGAAACCTCCTCCAAATATACATGTGTATGACTCTTTCATACTTAGTCTCTGATGCCAAGCAACATCTGCTGTGTGTTATCCAAAAATCATAGTCCTGTTGGTGAGTGGAAAACTGGGTTTTTGTAGGTCAACAGCAAAGCAAGTAGTATGACTTTCCATTTTGGAAGTCATGGGGAATGAATACTTCTGGAGTGGTGCATACTCAGAACTTTTCAAAATTAGGCCACCCAGTTAAAGTGCCTGAAAATAGCTTTATGTACATAGTTCTATGCATTCACCTTTGGAATCTCTGGTCACTGTGGTCTGTGGCCTACTTTAGTTGGCAATTTTGGTCGGATAGGAGGGAGTAGAATTTTCACATAGGTCAATTTTAGGAATTTTCCTCTATATTTGAAATCGAAAGGAAAAATCTGTTTTTAATTTAAAGGTGGTAAATCATCCACCTGAGACTCGTTTGTTTTTGTGGAAACAATCAGTAAAGCCTCTGAGTTGAGGGCTGATGTTAGCTACTGCAATAACCATGTCACTTCAGAAAGCAAAAATCTTCCATGTTGATTTTCTCCCAAGAGCACATGCAAACTGATGTCTCATCATCTCACTCCGAGGGTGGTACATGTTCATGCACTGTGTTTTAATTTG